ACAATTAACCACTTCATTTCACGTCACTAGATGTTTAACACAAACATTCCACTCTCTGCAGCTTTGAGTTGGTTACGGCTAATGCTGGTAAAAGTCATAACTGGGAAATTTTCATTTGCCAATACATTACACCAACACCAGAGAGTGTTACTGGAAACACATCCAATGAACTAACTCATTTGAGACGACATCATGCCAGTGTGTGTGACTGGAGTCTCCTCATGGCATCCAAGGTGCTTTCCCAGGAAATTCAGACCGCACAAAAACTTTTTTTTTGCATATTTGTTTACAATATGCAAATTAGCATCGGTTTTGCTATAGACACGGCGGCAGATGCACTGACTTTGATTTACAGCTGGTCCTAATTGTCATTGCGGTTGCATATGTAATAAGAAATTTCAAAACAAAATTGTTTTCCTTGTAGTACTGAAATTGTAAGAAAACGTTACTGAACCGTCACACCCATATAGGAAAACCTTTAGCCCAAATCATGGAATACAATGAAACATACCTGCTTAATATCTTTATAACTTGATTTCCAAAACAGTATGTCAGCAATAATCATTTGAATATAGTTACCTATAGCTTTGAATGCATAAGCTATAAGTAACTGCTTCAGAAACTGTAACTTTGCATTCAACACTATAACCACTTTGTCACATTAAACACTAAGTTTCACTGCACAAAGACAATAATCTCCACCCCAGGCACACAAACAACTCGCTGATCAAAACTAAGTGTAGCTTACACAAACACCAGCTGAACAAAACCAAACCTATTTAAATCTGTGAGATGGGGTCAGAAACGGGTACGAGGGAGAGCAGGAGGATAGGGCGCGACCCTCTCCACCACTGGTGCAGTGCCACAGGTCGAAGCGACAGACAGATTAACGCCGAAAATTGCAAAACGTCAACGGTCAGGGGTCTTATAAATACAGATGTGTGCATGGTTACCAATCCCCCAATCCTGCTATCCTGATGGACACCCCCCCCGCCCCCCAGTACAGGGCCGGGATGCTAAACACAGAAGCCAGACTCACCTCCAGGAATTGATCAGTGTTCATCTCGCTGCAGGGAGTGTCGACTATCCGCGCAGCCAGCCTTACACCATCAGCCGCGTTAGCCAGGCACTATGGGGGGATGGGAGAAACCGCAAGAGATCACCTGCCAGTAGGGGGCAGCATACACCACCAATACAAGAAAAAAGGATTAAAAAGGAAAAATACACTGCGGTTTTACCTCCAAGGTTGTGAGGTCTAGGGGACCATTGTCCTGGCCTACGGTAATAAATTCCACTGTCACCAGTTTACTTTCGGTCCTGCGGGAGGCAGCTGAGCGACGGGAGAAGAGAGGGAAGGCCCGGGCAACAGCGCAGGCAGAGGCAAACACCTCAGTGCGCTCACACACCATCTACACCAGGGGGCGACATTGCAGAGGAGCTCAGGATTTTTATACAGGACACTGGATGCATCGGGAGGGTGAGACAGTATCACACTCATCTTCTTTACCATCTCATGGACCTTCACTAGGAGTAGTGACGCAAAGTAATGGGGCAAAGGTGAGAGAAAAAAAAGTGACAAGAAATTTCAGAATGCCCAAAAAATAAGGATCATGGGTCAAAAACTGTCCAAGATTTTGAAGAAATTTTATATATATATTTTTTTTTCCCCATCTTAGGCCAATATCCTAATCCCACAGTAAGGCACCATTTTATATTCACTACTTTTATTTAATTTCTATTTCCATCTCTAACAGTCATACAAACAGCACTGTTGTTCACATTGTGTACATAACATTACGCAACAGTGATTACATACTCTATGTAACGCTGTTACAATATCGAGCAGAAGCCAATGCTATTTTTTAATAAAGGTGCCCCTCCAAAAACAATCAAGCTGATCTTTCTTGGCTACAGAACATCTGCTTACCCATTGGCTTCGTTACCCAACAACAATTTTTGCAGTTGCTTAGGGTTGGGCAGAAAATCAAAATTTTATGGTATATTGATTTACCTTTAAAATGAGATATAGGATGACGCTATACTGTTTGTATCAATATTTATTTTATTATGTGTTAAAATTACGGCTCTGTCCTTTATTTTTATCAGTAACCAAAAGTATTCCTTGAGTGAAGACCTTTGTGTGATGTTGCGCAGACTCCCAGAACACACAGCTAAAATCAAACCATTGAGTAAGAATCTCACGGGGAAGCTGATGGAGATGAAGTATCATCGGGAAACGGATCAGTTAAAAATATCGTAATTTGCGATATGTGTTTTATTTTCTTGAAGGAACTGGTTTGCATTTACAGCTGTGAAACACTGCCTTTTATTTTGCCAAATGATTTGAATAGACCTTCAACAGTTTCTAAAGAGGATGTTTAGAAAAGACAGTGAAGTAGTTCATTTGAATGAGTGATGAAGTTTTCACTTTATCTATAAACTAAAGCATGATACATATACGAAGGTTATTAAGATCTAAATATAAGGCAAAATAGCTAGAACTGTCTCATGTTTTCTCTCACACATACAGATGGTATTCTGTACACATACAGATGACTTCACACTTTTCTTTGGAACGGCAATAATATGCTTGTTATTTACTCATGTTGGCACAAAGTGGAAATTACTGTATGCAATTTAATCCGGGCTCAGTTCACATTGAAAAAAGCAACTTTATGTACTAATTCCTATTTTTAAAATGTGCCTACATTTTTTTTTGAATGCCCCAATTTTTTAGACAGAGGTGGACAAGGAGGCACCGTATGCTTAATCACGTGCCACCCTGACCATCATAACGAGCCTTTCGCAGCCTGACACCTATAATGCAGTTACATACAGTTATATGATGTGCACTTGCTTATAAAAATAGGACTGACATATTGTGATGACATCTCCTCCAAGTTTCTCAAGGCCAGACAGACAGATAAAGACAGACATGGTGACCAAAAGCACTGCTTGACACCCAGAGATACAGGGAAGCATAAGGGGAAGAGACGGCAGCCGGAGAGACTCACTACGATGCAGCGGTTGGCTCCGGGCGGTAGGCATGTGCGCAGCAGGCGCGTGAGGAAGTGGGCAGCGGAGGGGCTGTTGTGCCTGCTGATGCGGGAGGGTAGGGCAGCCACCACCGCGTGACTCAGGTACAGTGGGCAGCTGTCGGTGGGGTTGGGATTCAGGGCACCCAACGCCAACTGCCATGTCTGCAAGGAAGCGTTACTCGTTTGTTAACAAATCAGCGGGTGGCTCATTGGTTAAAGGTCTGTGGAAGTAAAATTGGACATTGGTAGGCACGGGAGGGGAGGCATATTGGGTCCAGCTAGGGTTATGCTATTGTACCTTTGGGGAAGGTGCTTCACCTGAATTACTCCTATAAAATAAGCTCTTGATGCACGGGTCATAACTATAAACTGTTTAAATAAATGCCAAGTAAATGATACAAAGGGAATATAAAGGCTGGAACAAGTAGGTAGAGGACCTAAACTCAGTTCATATCCCTGACAGCCATTTTTTCCCAGTAGACTTCAACCTGTGTCATAAACGTGCAAAGTACACGCCAGTCTAAAATCGATTCACCTCTAATAAAAACAGCTAACAAGTCCATAGTTCGCAATTTTTCTCGGTCAATGTACAGATACTCCGTGTAATTGGCCGAGAGGAAACGGGAAGAGACCCGCTATGGCGGTGTAGTGTGTACGGCAGCCACCAGAGACAGAAATAAATCTAAGACACACACAGGTGACACACAACCCCAAAAATGTCATTTTACAAGGACGTACGGCAGCTGGAGTTGAAAGCAGCCTGTACGTGTTATGAAAGGCTGAACCGACGCCAGTGTAGTTAAAAAGACATCAAGGCTAGAGATGCAATCCGTCTGCACAGTGCAGATACCGCAGGCAGGTTTGCAGCACATGGTGAATTTACGGACCACCTCGTTTACTGAAAAGTTAAAAGTGTCGGCGGGACTCCGTGCATAGGAGACCCCCGAAAAAACAAGCCTGCATTATGGTTAAATACCTCCTTGTTGACGACCGGCTGTAGCTTCCCTTTGACTTGCGCCCATGAGAGCTGCTGCAGGTTGTTCAGCTGGCCGAGAAAAATCACGGGGCGGCTTTGAGGCTCCGAGTCTCCCGCAGACGCCTTGAACTCCAGCACCACGTTCGCCATGTTTGTGCTGAAAGGCCGGCGAACGACTCCCGACCTCTTGCCGAGCTTCCCTCGGGCCAGCGGGAAAGACCCAAAGTAAACCACTGGGTGAAAGGAAAAAAGATTGGTCACCACGCTGCCTACAGCCACAGGCCAAAGTCAGAGAAACAAAAAGAGAGCTGGCGCTGGTGACGTCACCCGGGACTTACGCAAACACTCCGCGCCGGTTCCACCCTTCTTGGCGTATAATGGCGTCGCCGAAGTATGAAGAGCACTGAAAACGTCCCGACCATGATTTAGCAGTCAGATTTAGTGTTACCGTCATGTTAATCTTAATTACTTTATTATGTTAACGATCACTGATTTGTATATATTCCCAAAGTCACAAATTACAGTCAGTAACTAAATTGTTAAGATTGGGTAATATAGCCTTCTTTTGGATTTTGTTTCAGGGACAGCTATGAACCCAATGAAGGGAAGGAAGCACATAAAAAATACTCAAAACAAACTACATATAATAATTAGGTCATCCATCTTCCAACTCCAATCAAGTCTTATTAGTCAGCCCTGCTGTAATATAATTAGCATATAAAGAACTGTGTCATCTTCAAGGATTCATAACCAGTGCTCTACCACAGCCCTGTGCCTTTATAATGATGGGTCCTTAGGGTAAATCAGCATTTAGTAGCAAGTTAAGGAAAACCATCTGTGGAAGTAGGTTCTAGAAATACATGGACTCATCAGAAAAGTGTTAGTGGCTGAAAGGGTAGCTATGAACATCCCAATTAAGCACGGTCTCTGGGCATATTTAGCACAATAACTGACATTTAGGTAAAAAATAAACCCACAGCTTCCAGTCTTGTAAATACCCAGATGGTCATCTTTATTGAACACGGACATAATTTGACCGGAACAATAAGATTTAAATAGGCAGTATGCATTTGCACATAGACTTTAGTCCACAGTGGAACAGTGTCTGTACTTAGCAGGAATACTCTTTAGGTAGAGGTTATCAGATAGAGCAGCACACCCATTATCCTGTGTAGTTTCCCAGGTACCTCCTATAATTCCTCATTGATCATTAGGAATGATGCAAAGTACAAAATTAATATTGTGTAAGATTGTCTCATGGAGTGCCATATTTCAATTTTGCTATTTATCGCCAGACTTAACACAACATCCTTTACTGTGCAGTCATACAACAATTTCATAATATATGCAACTAGCATTCAAAATGAAAAACAATCCCCTGCTTGTTGAACACTAATGCCAGTTTTTTTGGGATTGTTATTCATAACTTTGAATTAAGGCTCAAAAGAAACATATTGTCTGTACCAAGCCAAAACACTGGGTTGAAAACAAACATTAAACTACAAGAAAATTGATATGGAGTCAATCTGTTTAATAGCAAATTGATATGGAGTCAATCTGTTTAATATCCTGCTAATGTAAAAATACCTATGCAACAGCGTAACCCAGAAGGCAATATATCCAGTTATTCAAAGTGAAATGATCATCATAAATATTTCTGCATTTATTTTTTTTTAAAAATCCACAATCTTTATAAAACCTCAGCAGATATACAGTACCATCATGACATTTGAATGCATGTTCACAGACAGAATTACAATGCCTAGATAATTTTACATGGCATTTTTCACAAATAAACAGGTTACAGCAAATGAGTCTTCCGCCATGATTAACCATCTCTGATTTAACCATCATTTTTACCTTTACCAGACTATGCATGGTGGAATATACCAAAAGAACTCATACTCTGCTGTTGTTGCTCTTGGTTCAACACATTGACCAAAAAAAAAAGTTCCTGGGGATATATGTGTAAAACACCCCCCCCCCAAAAAAAAAAAAAGGTTTATGTCACTTTTATATATGGAGTACAGATCAGTACCAGCTAATGAAACACTGGGGAATGTCTACTTGTTATCAAGCATTCGACATGTACAGTTAATTCATACAGAAGAAATTTTGATGTTCAGTGAAAAGGGGAGACAACTCCCTGAATGTATGATGCATTTATAACTGGGGGGAGGGCAGGTGAAGTACGTTTTTGGAGGCCCCCAGGAACAGGAATGATAAAGACTGATCTAACACTGAGTGGAGCATCTACAATAATCTCCATTTTCTTAACATTCTGGAGAATTTTGAGGCTGAGAGATTCAAAGCGCCATATTGAGGAATTCTGGGAAGAGAAGCCTAGGTTGACCACTTCCTCATCTAAATAAATATTTCTTCTTTTGCTCACCTCCCTAAATGGAGACAAGCACCACAGTATGGTAAGATGTGCTGCATTTCTCCCATTGAAAGATCAGCTGTCCTTGTTCAGGACCTGTGCTGCTTGTTCAGTGTGTAACCGAGCTGACCTTTCATAACATTGCCACCTTCAGGCTCAATTTTCTTTAACCAACACCATTAAATCAGAAGCCACAGACCATAAAACTTAATATATTTTTACGCTTACAACTTGATTTTAGACTTTAAATAAATATGATTTGAAATGATACAGAATAACGTATCAACAGACAGAGTTAAGCAAACTTCTCAGTCTTTCAGTATATGCACATCGGCTGAAGAGATCCAGAGAGACTTATAAGGGGAGGAAGCCTTAATGCAGGGTATGTGGTGCCAGCAATCAGGCGGATGTCGACCGCTGCAGCGCCACCCCTAGATCTCCTTTTCAGTGTAAACCATGTGTGCAAACGTTCACAAGACTGAAACAAACACACAAAAAAAACCCAACAAAACAAACAGTCGACAAAATAAATCTCATGGTCAATTAAGATGTGGACCTCATTAAGAAAGCCACAGATGCAGAAAGGAGAAGAATGGAGGGAGAGCGTTCAGCGAGGCCACAGGGCCCGGTGCCGACCACCGGTCCCCTTCTCGCGATCGCAGGTGGCCTGCAGCCAAACGAGAGGCCCAGGGACGAGCCGAGTGTGTAGTGCTTTGCCTTTAAACATGCTGCGGCGTGAGGTCATGGCTAACTAGACAAGGGATGCGGTTGTTCCACAGTGTCACTGCCCCTTTTTTGGGGTGGGAAACATCCTACCTACCTTTTTTTAATCCAGACGAGAGCAGCCAGGTTAAAGGGGCAGGCAGTTAATAAATAAAATGGTTTCCTCCTGCTTTGGATTCATGCATTTTTACAAATTCCCAAACTTTAGAAGTATAAGGTGCCAACAGGACGCAGCAACTGGCTTTAAGTTAGACATGTACAGTGGCTGATTAGATCCAATTTACATTGGGAAAAGGCAGCTCTGATTGGATGACACACAGGACTTTCACGCACACAGAACACATACACAACACACCATAAAAGCATAGAACCCAATTAACGTAACTTCACACCGAAAAGGACAATTATCAGGATGACAACAATGACAAACAGAATTAAAATGAATAGCATCTTGCGGTTTTTCTTCTGATATTGTTCAGCCTGTAACAAAAGATAAAGGTCAAGTTTCCAAAACGTCCTGCATTTGTCTAACTGTAACATCCATCAATTTATTTTTTAAAACATACAAACAACACAAGGTTGGATGGAAGCACAGGGACTGAGGCAGGGGACACCTTGGACAGAATGCCAATCCATCACAGAGCAGTCACATGCAAACTATGGGACAGACACTCCAAATCACCTAAATTCGAACTGTGCGCTTGAAATACATGGATGACATCCTGTTACATGGATACAAGAACCCCTGGACTTAAAGGCCTCCTTACTTAATGATATTGTATGATATACTCATTGAAATTTAATCTGGCAGAGTGAAGTTAAGACCCTGCAGGTCTAGATTGGGAAATGTGTGGATCATAACGACCATTAATGACCTTTGAGACCATATCTTCAGGGCATCAGATCTGCCCTAATGTAACTTGTAAAGCTGTAAGAAGCCAACAGGATGAGAGGGCCAGACATCCCAAAGCATAAACACCCGGATCAGACACCAAGATCTGGAACGAGCTGAGATGACCATCTAGCACAGTCATATTCCATAATGATGACGCATATGCTTGTATATGAAAGAGAATTCTCTGCAGTCCTTGTTGCTGAGGGGTAACAAGATTTAACAGAAATGACGAGGTACTGAATTGGGTTTTAAGTCAACTGACTATGTATGTCAGCCCGGTGGTTCGGCAGACAGCCCTGCGGTCACACGGTTACCTGTTCATGGGTCTGACCACAGCTCTCGGTGCGTGAAGCTTGCACACTTTCCTTGTGTTTGTGTGGATTCTCCTCGTAAAATTTGTTTCGGGTGAACTGGTGATACCTAATACTCATCAGAGCACAACTCTGGGAGTGTGTGTATGTGGCATCGGGTGTGGAGCACGCCCAGCCCTGCCCAGCCCTGCCC